ACTGAAATATTATAACGGCTTCTGTATAGTGGAAGAAGATGCTTTCAGAAATCGATTGATCTATTTACGTATGTGGCTTATTCAGAGATGATAGCCTTAGTTTAATTGCCTTTTTAGAAGAAAATGCCATCACAATGTGACAGATAACAAGATCAAAGAGGCATTCAATTTTCAGTCATTGTAATGTAGGCATAGTCAAGTTGACTATATTTAAAGGGCTTTTAACAGAATAGGTTTGTCACAAAGTGCTTTCCCAGAGCAGCTGAGCAGAAGCATCCCCTTGCTTTTCAGCTTTAATGGTGCCTAATACGCTGTAGGAGTTTGACCTGCAGTTATTGTAGTGCATCCACCACTTCAGCTGCATCAACACGTCTGCATGACAGCTCAGTATTTCAGGTGTCCTGGCTTCAGCTCCACTGCAAGCAGAAGGCACTGATCTCATTTTAAGACTAAATCTGTGTTTTCCTTTTTAGCTAAAAATCCTCACTCAACCTCTTTGCTGATGTGATTTTGTGAAACAGAGTCAGTGCTGTTGCACATCTCTGCAGGAAGCGCATTAGCAGTAACATGATATTAGATGTGATATGGTGAAGTAAAGAAATAGCTTGATGGAAAAAAAAACCCAAAACACACACAGAACTTTAGCTGTCATCTTCTTTTTCAAGTGAATACTAAATATCAGGAATGAAAGGGTGGATTCTAATTGGTTAATTAGTTAAAAATATATCAGTGAGTCCAGCTGAACCTGTTTTTCTCACACAAAAATCTGGGCACAAAGCCACCATAATTCACGTTTCATGGCGATCCATTGTGCAAATGGTAACTGAGACGGAAAGGAGGTCATGAGAGAGTTAGCCGTGTGAGTGACTGAGAGGGATTTTCATCAGTTGCACAACAACAGAGGGGGGTATTAGGCCTTGGCAGAGAGCTGCTACCAACTGTTGGTCTGCTACAACAGAAATGAAAGAAGCTGCTTTGAGTGTGAAGAGCTTACTTTAATTATCAGACAGTGGAGTCAACAGTATGGCTCACTGTGCCTCGCTCTCACTCTCACTCATATATCGTGAGCAGGCAGATACCTTCTAACACAGAGTGCAAGCAAAAAGCTACGCATATGTTTTTTACACCATTTTCTGAGTGCAGCACATGTAGGCTCTAATATTTGAACGAACTGAAACCACATGAATTCTGAGTCCAGCAGCTTAACATTTCAGAGAGCGATTTATGCAGATGAGAGACAACTTTAGAATAAAAGGTGATATGAATCATTCTAAGTGGACAAGGAATTGTAGTATAAATGAGTAGGCAAGCGAATTAAAAGATCAGAAAGTGCCAAATGGTAAGCTCAATGCTATGTGGGAATAGAAGCACATGTGCTTCCGAGAGAACTTGGAGGTGTCAATCCTTCATCTGGACAACTGCACATCTTGAGTTAAGATAGTCATTAGTACTTCTATGCTAACATAATGGGGAAATACTAGGAGGTTTGAAAGTTACAAATTATGATTATTGTATAACGTGTAATGTGATTTTCTTCCTTTTGGTATAATGTATCTCTAAAAAACTCTTTCCATGCCATAACACATAATTGGGTGATCCTTTATGGGATTATATAAAAGATCTACTATGTCAAAAACCAAGAGCCTCTGAGATGGTATGCACTCAAATCTCAACGAAATCTAAAATGAAAAGCACTATTACTCAAACAGCATGAAAAAAACCCTAACTCTTGCCATCGATCCTTCAAGAATGAAGAGCTCCTTTTATTTAATGCTTTGGGAATATTTTACTGCAGACGGTTCTGTTATAATAAATCTAAGAACTTTTGAAAGAATCATTTTGCAAGAGTGAGAAATATTTTCAAATGATGGGTATGTGGACTGGACGTGTAGATTTTCAAAAGCTTTAAAAACTTGAATGATGCAGTCCTCGCCAATCTTAATAGTCACAGGCATGCATTACCCATGAAGCACTAGCCTCTAACACCTGGCTCCAGGAAGATGCCCTGGTTTCCCTAATACAAGCAGATCTTTCAAAAGACTCAGATCCAAGAAGGGCTTTGAATCACTCTTATCTGTAACGTGAAACCAATTTACCCTGTTATACCCTATCAGGAGCTTTTATCCCTACACAGAAAAGCTGCCAGGACCAAAGGTCTGTAAATCACTGGATTAAACTTTTACAGTGAAGCAGGCACCAAAGAAAATGTTGACTGCCCCTTTCACCTCACTATGCATTTACACTTTGATACTGTCTGCTGTGAAGAGCATCATTTTATTTCTAAAGTTCAAAACCATAAAATACCCCTGTCACAATAAAAAAAACAAAAGCAAAGAATTACTGTCTCACTGTGACAGCTTGATGTTGTCCCTTTTCTTAGCTTTGCATTAATAAATAATGTTAACAATAACAATATTAATAATAATGAGTTGTTTAAAGAGACACCCTCCCACTGTGTTTGGCATATTCCAGGTAATACACTCAAGACAAAAACACTTCCACAAAGAAATTTAATTTAATAATAGCTCCTTTGGCAAGTGTCCTTTCTCCTCTGTCTCCCAGGTGCATCTCAGGAACATCAATTGACCAGAATCAACTGATTTCCAGTGTTTAAAGCTCGGATTAGTGACTGGCTGGTCATCCTTTCATACAAGCGACCCAATACATGGAAAATGTGCACTGTGACAGAGGTAAACAGTCGCACAAACACTCACAGCTCCATGCTACGCTGTTAGCACGAAAGTGAACGAAGAAACAAAGTTTGCAAATGCACATGGACAGTTTAATCAAGCTAACAAAGGAAAAGTGGCTAACACTAAAGCTATCGAGAGCTCAGAATCAGCCACAAGCCAGCAGCGAACAGTAAAAGATGAAAGCTGCCACGAATAAAAATTCTAGAGTCAAGAGAAGAACTTAGCTTTGAAGCATTTAGAATAAAAAGTGAAGAGAAAGGGTCAATGTCCTGTTACCTGGTGAAGTTATAAACATATTGGTAAATGATGTGTGACAGAATCTGGTTTTTGTTGTATAAATCTGATGCACCTGCTTTTGATCGGTAAGGTAAAATATGTCAGGTAAAGGCAGGTGTACAGCAATTCATTTTCAGATCCTTATTTATGTTGCTTTTCAGTAGGATAACAATATATTGTCAGTTGTGAGAGTGAGAGAGGATCCTGTAAGTTATTTGGGGGAAATTGTTAATTTTAATAATGTCTTTGTTATGAAAAAGTTTCCACAGAGAAAAAGTTGAGTTTTGTTCATATATGCTGTCAGTTACTGTTTCTTAGAAATAAAACTGAAATCAGCGAAATTGGTATAGGCAAGTCACACTAAGAGCATATTTGAAATCAGCCAAGAACATTTTGTAATCAGTGCATGTTTAGTACAACTCCAAAAGCTAAGTTTAATCCTTTGTTCCAAACAGGAACTGGCCCAAACACAAGACAAGCCACATGTCATAAAACTCTGTAGAGAGAAGCAACATGGCCCAAAGCAGAACCTATATAGTTCTGTTGTAGTTCTAGATCACTTTCTTTCAATTTTGTTTAGGTATGGGCATAAAATTTCAGCTTATACTTTAACCACATTAACCGCACAAGGTGCCAACACTGAAGAGTGCCATCAAAAATAAAATTAATCCACTGCGCATTTCAGTAACTCAGATGCCAAGAGTGAAGCCAGGAAAACTTGTTTGCTCACAACATTTGGAAGAAGAAAATTATATACTCCTAATGAAGCCCTGCAGGCAGTTTGTCTGCACTGCTTTCTCCCTGTGCCGAAAACGTTGGGCTTTATTACCTGGCAGGCTTTTAATGTGCACAAAAAAGGAATGTAACACCCTAAGGTAAAACCCAAAAACGCTAAATATGGTCACTTCAACACAGCATATGGCAAATCAGCAAGAGATGTTTTTGTGACAGTGGAGGTGTATGTCTTCATACCCTTTAAAGTGACAAAAATAAGAACTATATTTAACAAGTGTTTTTCCAGGACAGTTACACACACACACACACACACACACACACACACACACACACACACACCTAAAACAGTTGTAGGATTTATAGCAAACTCAAACTTTCTGGCTTCCTCTGAAAAACTCTTGCACCACACCACTATCTGGAGGTTCAATAGCTGACTGCAGAGCTGCTCTGTATGCATGTCATGTGTAAAACTGCTAAAAAAAACAGGAGCCAAATTAACTACTTATACTGTGTATCCACTGAAATGTTTTTTGGAGCAGTGCTAAAGTCGATCTTTGCCCTGTTTGATTTATGTACCCCTTAGGTGTGGAGGTGGGCAGGGAGTGAGGGATGTCTTTGAGTGCCACTTACATGAATGCAGCAAAACTTCCCTCTGCACTTTAATGTAGTTGAAGTAGGCAAGGGAATTCTTGTGGTGGGAAGTAACTGGACCAAGGGCTAAACAGACTCATCTCTGGTTATCACATTGATTTTTTTGATCTCTCTCATACTACCTTCCTCTCTGTTTTTATGCCCCTCTCTGGCTCAGAGATTCTTCTGGAGTGCTGTGAACTCCTCTTCTCAGTGGGAAACTGTGAGATCTTCAGGCTGAGAGCTTTTAAAAGCCCTGTGATTGCAGACCAACCCAGGGCTAGGTATTCCCCTAAGACTGAAATTGTTGCCATGGTAACACCCACTGTTGGCCCTGGGCTGGAACAAAATAATGCACACATGAGGTGGAAAGAGAGTGCCTGAGCAGGTAATCCATTTGACAACACAATGCTCAAACATGCCAACCCTCTATGATGCTTATGTTTCATGCAAACCTGACTCGCAGTAGGTACCACTGGCAGCATTTGAGTCTTCAGATGCTTACCATACCCAGCTGACAGAGAGAATATTTTTATTGCACCTCCAAGGTGCTGGAATATCAGTGCAGCTTATTGGATCTCGAAGCGTGAGCAACGAGGATATCTCTGTAGGCAGAGTGCAAAACTCATAAGGACTGCAAACAAACATATTGATCACTTTGATTACCTTCATTGTCCTTAAGGGTAAAGTTGGGATTAACTGGTAGCTGGCTTGGTGAAGCAAAGGAAAACCGCTGTCCGTTGGCAAAGTCATCCTTATCCACTGCTGTGACAGTCTGGATCACCTGTTGTTCACAAGACAAAGGATAAATCACGTTCCAGCGACGACACCTGCAACATTTAATTATCTGCCACACACTAACTCTGCACAGAGGACAAGGAGCTGATTTAGTTTCTCTAGCATGTCTTGTGATTTGTTGATCATAATTAGTCACAGTCAAGAGTGCCTCTGACCTACAGCCAAATGCTCATGTAACTATTTTTTCTTTACTTGTGTGCGGTGCTCGAAGGAGACTATCTAGTTGTGACACTTGCATCTGAGAGCTTTTGGCTTGTGCAAGGGGGAGCTGGAATCTAACAATGAAAGACGTGCTCTCGGGGCAACCTTACTGCCACTTCTGTCAGATTACTACGCTTAATTGGTAAAAGACACAGCGAGAGCGAGGAGAGATTGTGAGGAGAGAAAACAATGACCTGATACCCTCTGTCACCGAGAAAAAGTTTAAATGTGAGATTAGGGGCATTTTTTTCCTTCTTCTCCTGGTGCACTTGCTCAAGCCTCTGTCCTTTGTGTCTATTTGTACTTATGTGGATGTCATGCTTGACAGAGTGGCTGAGTGGAGCGGAGCTCTCTTTCTTCTAAGGGCTCAAAAGCTAAGTTCTAATTGTTGTCGTTTTAATCAGTGTGAGAAAAAACAGACACATGCTAAAAAGATCATTCTTAAAACTCAGTGGGATGTTTGCAAACAAGATGGAGCTATACAATTTGCTGTCAGCATGAAAATGTCTGCATGGTTTGATAGCGGGTGCAAATTTGTCTTCCATTAATCCATTGTTTGGCAGATAGTGACAATCAGCTCTTATTGTAGGCATCTTTTGGGCTGAACATGCCCAGTGATCTTTGATCTAATTAGTAAATTAGTTTAGTGTAAATAAATAAATAAATCCTACAATGTCAAATTATACACCAGAACAGCCCAGTGACTGCTGAAGTGAGAATTCACACTGAATTTGTTGCATTGAAAGAGTCACCTATAAAACTAAACAGCCCATCTTGAAAAGTGTTATCATCCCTACTTTTAAAAGTTGTACATGTACACTGCTTAACCACCACCTAATGTAAGGTTTATGCCACAGCTGCACTAAATTAAAAGTACTTCTAATTACTAAACACGTGCTTTATGTTTATGTAATGATTAATCCACCAGTATGTGCAAGCTCTTTAATTTAAATTACATTTCTAATGCTAAGATGTAATTATTGTTGCCATTCATGGATTTTCAAATATACAGTTTTACAAAAAAAGCCAAAAAATAGTAAAGAACATTATTACATTTTCAATTATTATTGCTATAATCCCTAAACAGAAAACAAGTGTCTTAGTAGCTGAATGTAATTTTTAATTTTCAACATGTTTCTAAAATATTTGTGTTTTGTTATTGGTCTAATAAATGTGTTAAACACACGAGGTCACTTATACAAAAGTCAAGCATTTTTACTCCTTTAGCAATTGGCCAGTATTGCTGTAACAGTAACTCATTTTTTTATTTTAACCATGGGACACCTCAAGCTTTAAAAAAATCTACCTAAACTTAAATGTACCGTAAAAGGTAAAAACGTGCTCAGTTAGTAAAAAAGAACTATATAAGAACCAGTTCCCAACCATTTAGTGTGTACCACTAAATATATATAACTAATTATAGGTGTCATGGTCCTGGGTCTTTTGACCCAGCGTTTTAAGTTTGAGTTTATTTTGTTCATTAGGTTATCTAAGTTCATTTGGTTATTAGACTCCTTGTGTTTTCTTCCCCTGTATTTACGTTTCCCCTCACCCTTTGTGTTTCATGCTGCGTGTCTTATGTTATCAAGTTTGTATTATTATGCCTAAGTGTTTCTAGTTATTATTTCCCCCTCGTGTTTCCAACTATGGTAAATCTCCCCTGCTCTTCATGTGTTTCATGTCTGTGTCTTACGTTAAGTTCTGGTTGTCATGTCTGCGTCTCATTATGTTTCCTATTTTATTTGGAAGAGATCCTGTGCTTTTATATTATGGGTTATGTTTTGAGTCCTTTGATATACTGTTTCTTGTTTCCCTAGATCTCAGTTATGGTTATCATAGGTTTAGTTCTTTGGCTTTGTTATATGGCTTCCCTGTGTTCCATGTTATGTCAACTGTGATGTTTTGTGCCATGTTTCAGGTTCCTATGTTCTGTCCCCCCAGTTGCTGTTAAGTTTGCGTGTTTTAGAATTCAGTCAGTGTGTTTCCTGTTTTACTTTGAAGGTCCATGTCTCATGTGAGTGTTTCTAGTTTTGCGTCCTTGCCTCGTCCTGCTTAATTACTCTCAGCTGTGCTCTCCTCCTGTGGCTCATTCCCCCTCGTTATCCCTCAGTATATTTAAGTCCTCTGTTTTCAGTGTGTGATTGTCAGGTCGTCTGTTGTCCACGCCATGTTTCCTATGCCATGCTTCCAAGTTCCTTGTCTAGGTTTTTCTTATTGTTTGTTTAGATTTCCCAGTTTAGGTTTGTGTTAATTTTGCTTCAGTTTGCCTTGCCCTTTGTTTGTACCTTTTTTACCAGCCATATTAAACGGCTCGCTTTTTGTTAACATTCAAGTTTTGTTCCCTGTTCCTTGGAGTCTGCATTTTGGGTCCTTTTTCAATTCATACAGTCTGCCCTCGCCAGACTGTGACAATAGGTGTGATAAAATGTTACTTCTTTATTGGCAAGAGGTATTGTGTCAAAATTTTGATTGTCATCTTCCAACAAATTAAAAAGAAAAAAATCTAATTGCTGTGGTATTAAAAAGAAATACAAACATATTCTAAAACATTAATGAGAAGCTCAGTTTTTAAATGCATTGTCTTCTGAATAGTGGTATCCTGCTGTCTCATTCGGTGCATTATAATACTTACCAGTTAATCCCCTGAGCCAAGAACCCTCAGGCAACAATGTAACCTTAATACAAATTTAATACAAACTTTCATTCGAACTTTTCTTCAAACTTTTCTTCCAACAGCTCAAAACTATTAAAAATGTATTTAGTTGTGTCTTCCTAGTCTTTACTTCATCATCCTTTGCCGAACCAGCCTTTCAGCCATTTTCCATGCTGCTGATCGCGCTGTATCTCAAAAACCTTCTTAATTTGAATGAATCAAAGACTACTGAGCGCAAATTGGAATGAGCTTCGATTTAGAGCTGTCATGGTTTGCTGCTGAGATACTCATTTTGAATGAGGGATGATTAAGCAGCTCTCTCCAGTGCCTTCGCAGTCTCTTATTGCTCAGCTCTCGGTGAGCAACCCGAACTGCTGAGGGAAACAACAGTTCGGTGCAGAATTCATGTAGCCAGGGAAATGACTGTGCTTAATGGACAGCGCTCAACACTTTACGTATGAGGTGTTTTTGACTTGAAGGAATGTTTTAATGTTTGAAGTCAGAGATGTAGAGGGAAAAAAACCAAAAAACGGAAATAGGTGTTTTTGTGTTTTTCTAGGCGAGTCCCCGACACTTACTTGTCCCGGCCTTGAGCTCTCACAGACAATAACTTCCTCATCTGTTGATATTTCTGGTGGGTTGTCATTCACATCAAGGACCTGAACAGTTACAGGAACGTGACTGAGAAGGCTGGGATTGTCTGAAGCAGAGAAAGAAAAGAAAAAGAGACAAAAAAAATAAAAGCCAAGCGTTAACCTTAATAGCAAAGTGAAACATTCAACATTTCAAACTAGGGCATGGTGTGCTCTTCCTGTTAGAGTGTTTATGGGTTTTGTCTGTCGGTTTGTCATTATAAAAACACTGAGGGTGCAATGCTGCACAAATCAACTTTGTTTAGTAAAATTGATATAATCATGGCATTTTTTCAGTTGTAGTTCTTGGTTATAATACATAATCCATCTTACATGCAAAATATCCCCCATCTTTATACATGTTCTCCTTGTTTATTGTGTGGGGTAAGTGATGATGGGAATTAGGTGAATAGTGGGATTCAATAGAATGTTGAGCATGGGGTAGGGATTAATAAGTATGTTATACTTCTTCCTACTCCATTTCAGACCTAATAATTGTCATTTCATGTCATTTAGACTTTGTTTTGTTTTATTTTATTTTGTTTTATCTGAGCACATACGTGTGTGTATTTACACATATATTCGTATTTGTAAATGCAAGTATGTGTACTTGTGTATATATTGTTTTTTTCTGTATATGTCTGAAATAAAGATACAATACAATATTCACTTTGAAAGATAAAAAAAATATACTCAATGGTTAATTTTTAAACTCAATTTAGTGAAACATTTTTTTACTATCTGTGTAATGTGAAGAACATTAGTATTTACAGGATGTTACAGGTCCAAGACTGCAAAATTGTCTAAGAAAAAGGCTTTTATGACCTACGAAGACCACCTGAAACAGCATCAGTAATAAGCAAAAAAAAAAAAAAAAAAAAAGCAGGGCTGACTGTACTGTTATAATGCAAGTGTCTGAAAATGGCAGATTGAGCTACTCTTATGACTGGGAGTATACAGGTCACATGTAATTTTTCTCTGGCCCCACAGCAAGGGCCCTTGAGCAATCTAGTTAACCTCAGCAGCCTGCAGCTCCTCTGTCACTGACAGAAGAGTTGTTTTGTAGCTTCCAGGTGCGAGTATGTTTTACATTATGAGTGTTACAAGAACAGTGCTGAAAAATAGCATGCTTCCTCAGCAGAACCTTTAGTGAAAGAAAAAATACATATGTGTGTGTGTGTGTGTGTACACACACACACACACACACACACACACACACACACACAGTTAACGCAGGTGTTCATGTCTTTGATTTAAATGAATGCTCCTACATCTTTACTTACTTTATCTTGTGCAGCATTTTTTTCACCACCAATTGAAGATTTGACTTTGCACCAATGGTATTCCAAGACAATATTTCCACCATAAACTACCAATTTAAACCCCCAAACACTAAAATGTTATTTTATCATACGTTCATCCTCTAATTCACTTTCTCAGTTTGGACAGTCCATCTATTCCCACGCCTTTTCAGGATAAAATCTCTACAGGATGGTTCGCAGTGAACTGTTTGGTGCTTTGTCTCGATGACACTGTGTCCTTGCTCATTCAAAGAGGTAAAAATTTATCATTCTGCCTTTTGACAGTGTCTTGGCATGTAACTGTATCCTTGAATACTAAAGAAGTTAAAAGAAACATTAGCATTCAGAATCCCACTCGCCTGGCAAGAGATTTGCCTAATTGTGATTACAAATTATCCAAGTTACCTGATAGCAATTGGAGTTAGAGGGGCATGTATTGATTTAATTAATTTTCACTGCAGGAAAGGACACTGAAACAATTGAGACTAATTTGATTTTTTTAGTTAATTATAAGAAAAAATTATACTCCACATTCTAATCAATATGCAAATATTACCCTTCACTGTTGTTTTCTCAAGTCTTCAGACTGTTAATTCCATTACTTACACTGGACTGTTTAAATCTGTTGATTATTTTTGTATTGCTGTTAATAATCCCATTTAGGCATCTTGGTGCACTGAGTTAAACGTGGATAAAATATAAACAGTCCACAGACTGCACACCTTTTTTGGTTAACTACAAAACTTTAATTACTTGACTTTAAACAGTTTTCTTAATAATGATTAGAAAAATAATTTTCCCTTTTTATTTACCATTCAAATTACATTTGATTTTTGCAGCATAGCTCAAATAACACACATTTATGGTCTGTATGTCAAAATAAGAGAAATATAAGATTTTATATATTTAGAAGTTGGTACACCTGTGAGCCATAATATGATTTTATTAACTAGTTTTCAATCGAAGAACTGGATAGAACAAGTATTGACAAAATTATAGTACATAATGTGTTTTTGTTTGTATTTCAAACATTTAATATAGAAAATTAAATAACTGCTACAAATCTGCAGCAATGAAAGTGTCCATTAACATACACTGTACTGATGCACCTTCAAATACATTTATCTACATACATTTTTTGCTCAGTAGATAAATGGAAGCTGTTCAGTGCAGATTCATGTGCTCATTCCTTTTGGAACCTTTTATTTTGGTGATATTGATTTGGACTCCAATTTTACCCTCTGTCTGAGTATATGATCCCCGCAGGGTGTCTTGTTATCTGGTGGGAGAGCATTTAAGAAAAAAACAAACTCGGGGTAGAACTACAGCACACACCTATTTTGTAATTTCTGCTTTTTGAATCATCTTGCTGTCATGACACAGAACTCAACCATAATTTGAATGTGATTCTGATTTATAATGTCTTTTATTAGCTTGAGGCAAAACAAAACAAGAGCAAAAAGATTGATCAATCTCTTGAGTGCCTCTTTCAACCGAATGCATTACAGCATTTTCAAGTGTTTATGACTGTTCAGTTCATTATGTGCAGTGCATCTCCCAATTTGCTTATTTACATTTAACAAACAGTACATATAATTTTTATGGATTTATAAAACAAAAAAAATCCACTTTGTTAAATACTATAACTGTAAAATTAAAGTTTAATTAACTACCTGAAATTGTAGGGCTACAAGAAAAGGCAAGTTGTTACTTCATTGTAAGCTTTGTTAAGATGAAGCACAGCTGGTATCACCACTACCCACTCATGAACATTCACATAAGAGTAAACAGATGTACCAGTGGCATTACATTTACTTACTCTTGTAAACATTTTGTATACGGAAAGCAACCTGGATACCTACCAACCTCCGAGGCCATAACAGTGATGTTGTGCCAAGGCATATCTTCCCTGTCCAGGGGCAGTGTTGTATATATAACTCCACTGTATTCGTCGACTCTGAAATAATTTATACCTTCCTCTTTTCTGTCCAAGAAGTATCTATTGAAAGAAAAACAAGATTGCATTTGATGTTATGTATACATTTGGAATGTGGATATCACACTGTTCTTTACATTGAGATGTCAGAAAGTTTTTGAAATGCTAATATCTTATTGTATTCTAGGAAATTCAAAATGCTAAACAGACTTGAGCATAAATGACAATCACTCTTCACATGGCCAAAAGTCTGAATGCACCCCTCACTTTATTTTGCCAGTAAAAAGGTGAATAAGAGCAGCAATTTATTTATTGTGCATTCATACATAGAAATACATTGAATAAGGCAAAACCCAGAGTTTGTCCAATTCTACAAGTCTCCCAGTTCTACCAAGCTTGAAGTAAATATTTGGTACGACCACATTTATATTACATGCTTGTTCGTTTTTTTCTATCCAGGTATGTTTGTTTAGAACCATTGTTGTGTTGAGAAATGACACCATTGCCAGTCAAATCTTTCCAGATGGTTCTGCATGGAAGATCAAAATCTGAAAGTATATGTTTTCATTGATTCCATCAATTCTGACAAGACCCCCAACATCACAGGCTGAAAGACAGGCCCAAACCATGACAGAACCTCTCCCGTGTATAAGGAGGTCACTGTTGAGCCTCTGTCCTTACCTCAGTCTATTCTTCCTGTTTCCCTTGTTTTTTTTGGAAAGCCTTTTCCTATTTCTTGAGCCTAGAGAACTATTGGTCAAGAAGATCACTTTAAAAAATTACAAACATTACAAGAAAGTCTTGGAAACAAAGCATAAAGAAATAAACACTAATTTGTTAAACACTAATCTAACATTTCAGTATTTCATTAACACCACGCCAGAGCAACGTGTTTATCAACAACCTAAAATCTCTAAAAGTGCCATTCTGTACTAATTTTGTTCTCCGTTTCCTATTCTGTGTGTAAAATACTTTTAATGTATAATAAAGAATTTTAAAACTTTAAGTATTTACTTAACTTACCTAAATTGCATAAATTTAAATGGCTCGTAAGAAACATTAAAACAAAACAAAAATATATGAGGTCAAATCACAAAAATCCAAACTGCATCTGTTTTTAATAGGTAGTCTTGTTTTCCATCCCTTTACCATTCTCTGTGCTGCTGCTACTTTTAGATAATTCTTATTTAGTCCTGTCCTGACCACTTGCACATTTGAGAAGCTTGCTGGATCTCACCCAATGTGACAAGACAGCAATGCTTCAACTTTAATGCCATATTGAGGAAGAGGACAAACTTGCAGGGAGCCTAATCTGGTGAGTACAGCAGGTGGCATGGAAAGATTGTTTCGGCAAGGCCGAAAAGCTCTTGTATTTTCATTGCCTTCTGCTATGGTAAACAATGGCCCACAACACATGTTGTGCTCTTCCCAGATACCTTAGGACATTACAGCTGTACCCTGTTTTAACAATCTGACCTCAGGGGATGAATTCCCTGTGCACAACTCTGTATTTGGAGGAAATAATGATGCTCATGGTCAGTTCCTGACCTTGTGTGCCACCTTTAGGCTTGGCCTCCACATTAATTCATGGAAAACAAATAAAAAAGAAAAACAAGAAAAGAAACAAGTCTGGTGTCAGAGTCCTGGAGCTTTTATTACCAGTGATTATTCTAGAATCGTGACATTAAGGGGTTAGTCTCACACACTGTTTGCTCTAGATGTTCATTGAGGTGAAATTGCAAATGCACAAGGGTAAGTGGCTAGAAAAATCTAAAATCTGCAGGAACATGTGAAGCGGTCCAGAGTTGCACAAGGAACAGACATTTCATAAAGAGGAGATCAGCAAAATTTTAATTAATTGATACCAAACCTGATGGAATTCCTCTGGTCATACAAAAAATAACTAAAATAAGACGACATAAATAAACTCTTTTAAAGTTGGTTCCTCAAGTTTGCATCATTTTCCCAACACAATCTTGATAATGTGATTAGGAGATTAAAAAAGCAAAGCAAAACTCTTGGAAGCTCCTTTAGACCCACAGATGACAATACACAACCACCATCACTGAGCGATACTGGTCAAGCGTACACCAATCCATCCATCTATTTTCTGGTTATCCAATTCAAAATCACCAGGGCGTGGAGTCTATCCCTGCTGCATCTTTGTATGTAATTCTTTTAGTATCCTTTTCAGTACCAAGTTATAGAAGCCTCAGGATATTATGCAAGGGCATTGTGTTTTGACCCTGGCTTAAAGTTTACCAAGCCAGAGTCAAAACACTATGCAATAAATATCTATTTGTTTTTGTTTATGTCCATTTTATGTTAAAAAAAAACAAAAAAAAAATGTAAAACAAAACCCCAAATTAATAAGATTTAGTAAAGCACAACAAGAACAAACTGACACACTGACGTGACTGAAGTGGAGAGGCAGCGTGAGCCAAAGGAGACATATTTATGCTCCTGTGATTTTCAAAGCCTGGTACCTCCACTAAAGCACATGAATAGAATAATCCCTACAGCTTTTAAATGGACTTTAGGTCTTGACAGAATGTTCCTGAAAATACACATTTCTAAGTCAAGAGCAATTATCTTCAATATTTAATAATAACAAAAGGCAGTGTTCTCCTGGCAATGTTTACACTCTTGTAATGGCTTTCTAGCGACAGTGTTATCAAACTGAATGCAAAGGAGTCTGTGGAATACAAAGCAGAAATGAGCTCCAGTGCTTCTCAAGAGTTCAAGCATTGACTACGTATTCCCTAATTTATCTCTTAATGACCTATTTATACCTTTAATCCAGCATTCATTCTCCTGTGCAATATACCCTTAAGTCGACAATTTTCAATCGACATGAGAGGTAGAAATGCAGTGGGTTTACTGATGCCAGGATTGCATTTATTGAATATTTGAGCTCAGATTGCCAGTGTTCCTGGAACCTGCATGTTGTCATGATTTATTTAATATTTTCAGGCTCATAAGAGCATGACATCCTTTCAGCTGTAAAAGTAAAGGTCTTCAGAAGAAAGACCTATAGTTTGATGGCATGATAACCACAGTGAAACGTACACAATGCACAACACTAAAAATATGTTTTGTTCTACTTTTTTTTATTATAAACTGCCAATTGTTTAACTAAGCATTTAACCTAAGATTTTAATTTATACACAGTGTTTAAAATGGTAAAACACTATAATAATTATAATGGTAGACTTTAGTGGTATTTCACTGTTTCCCGTCTTACTTTAATGAGTCTGTTTGATACTACAATTGATGCAGTCAGTTAATACTGGCTGAAGATGGGAGTCTGTGCTGTGAGTAATGGTAACTAGGCCAAAAAACTTTTCAAAACTATTCCTAATAAATATGATAATGTATAAGAGCAATCAGAGGTAAAGACCTCTGGAAAACTCATTTGATTATTCAGATGTCAATTTCAAACCATTTCCCAACATTTCAAATGTCACTTCAATCACATATTTATTTCATTGCATGCATGGGCAGACTTCTGATGATCAAAGAGAGCCAAACACTGCTGAATTTTACATTCTGATGCAGACACAAGAAGCAGAGGCACACTTGTTTAGCTTTCAGTGTTCAAGTGGATGTTATCAAAATACTTCCTGCTGCCTTCTTCTTTACGTGATGAACAGCGCAAGTAATGTACTGCGGGAATGGACCAGGTATTCCTCAAGGAACGCAAGGAAAAGGCTTTCATATGTAGATTACCTTTTTGTTTACTACAAATCTTTCACAGCTTGTCAAGATTAATACATGAATCAGAAAAACAAATCTTCACCCTATGTTTTCCAGACATTTCAAACTGTACAACATTCATCAAGGACGACGAAGCTCACCTCATGCAAAACAGACTTAATTAGAGATGCTGTGATAGGGAGTTTTATGGCTGATTAAGTTAACGGGTGTCATATCTGTGTGGTGCAACTGACACCAATACAGCAAGTCATAATATTATCCAAAAGAAACTTGAAAAATGAATAGAATAATGGACAGAAAGAAATAATTCTTTTTTTTACCACTCCAATGTGAAAAGGAATTTAGTATCCCAATTAAAACCATAATGCTGTTTGAAACCAACTCCAAAATGTAAGTTTAAAAAACAATATATAGTTTCTTTTCTACAATAGACCAGCTTCACAGCTTTGAAAATTCTCTTCAAACCTGGACTTGATCATTTTTGGTATTTTTAAGACCCTCTTGATCATATACCATCATTTATATGTAGAGTTGTGAAATCTGAACTAACAAGGAGAAAAGTAAAGACTAATGATTGCATACTTTTAAATTCGTGAAACCTTTACTTTGTCTGTGACAACAAAAATGCCAAACAGTTGATTAATTAGTCTTGGTTTGATTAATCTTGACCTGTGTGCTTTGGTCTAGATGTGAAAAATAAGGCAGAATAATGATTAATGAGCTGAATCATATAATATATTTCATATATTATGTTGAGCTCCGGATACAATGCCAGGTACCTCAAACAAACCTCTGCATACAGTTGGTTTTGATATTATTCCAAAAAAAAACTTCTGACTGGTAATTCATCTTTGCTGGAAAAGAAGCAGAAAAATCCCAACATAGACTTAATAAAATGGAAAGAAATCCAAACTGTTTCTAAATTAAATAACCTTTCTGGCATTAAAATTCTGAGTGAAGTTTCAAAGGTATGAAGAACACAGCCTGCCTAAATAGACAGTGTAGCTTGAGCAGCACATTAGCAGGGCAGCAGCTGTCATGTACCTTGCACTCACAATTATAGCAACATCTCTGGTGCTCCATCTAAGTCAACACAGGAAGCATTCAGGCAGAGTATGAAAGGAAAAATCCTGTATTTTTAAACCTCCACCCTCCATTTCTTAACTTTTGGCTTCTGCATTATTAAAAGCGACAAAAATATTTAGAATTTTTTCAGTATTGGCAACTACAAAACAGTCGTGATACAATGCCATGGGCCAACTGTCCACTTAGTAAAAGTGGTTATAGCTGCCAACAATAGGTTTTGATTGTAATATAACAAAAGTCTCACTAAGAGAGACATGCCAACCTAAAACTAAGGTGAGTGCGAGTTAGAGAGAGCAGACAATGTGGCGTAACAATACTGTACATAGTAAATATATGCTTTCTATATATAAATATAGAAAGGTTAGATTAAAACAATAATAATAATAATGGCTTGAGGTTTGGGCAGCAGAGTGATCGAGTGGTTTGGATATATGTCTCAAAGCAAGAAGGGACATTTGCACATCCTCCCAGTGTCTGGGTGGATTCTCTCCAGGTACTCCAGCTTTCTCCCACAGACATGACTGTTAGGTTAAATGATTATTCTAAACTGGCCGTAGTTGTGAATGTGAGAGTGATTGGTGACCAGTCCAGGGTGTATCCAGTGCCATGCCCTACAGCAGCTTCAGCCCAACCATGACCCTGAACTGGATAAGTGGATGAAGACTGATGGGCTTGGGGTTTAAGCATTTCCACATTGTAAGTGCCTTTTAGGGAGCAGTAACTTATTGAATTTACGTGTATGTAAATGCTCTGGTATGTGCACATTTCATTGCAGTTAATTAGAAGGAATAAATAAAAATGCATGCCATGAAAATGTCAGAATGTTGTGATTTTAGTGTTTTCTTTCATATTCGTATTTCTGTCATGTTATTGATGTGATTAGAGTCAGTGCACGTAATTTCTTGCTTCTGACAGTTTTTTCTACTCTTGGGTGTATGATGTCAGTGTGTATTTATATCTAATATTGTCACAACTTGGCCACCTGCTTTTCAAGCCTTTCATTTGCTAGGACCAGCCAGTGAGAAGGTTTTTAAAGGGACACTGTCCTTAATGGAAGAACAGCTTGTTTTAGATAGTGTATAAACATCATAAATTCCTTTTCAAATTACCATCCAAGCAAGTGAGTAGTAAAAATAAGGAGATGGACAAACACTTCGTGGCTTTCTTTGCTCAGTAGTGGACTCATTCCAAGCATTTTTGCCCCTTTGATTAATTTTAGACGGAAAAATAGATCCCAGGATGTATGTAGATATAAATAAGCCTCAAGCATAATGTGGCTCCTGTGAGGTAATAAAAATACATAATAAAGTCTTTGGCTCATGTTTACAGTTGTTATAGCATGAGTAAAAGTTTTCATTAGCTTTGTCCTTGAAGTTGATGCGTTGAGCATCATTTGAAGCCGGCCACAATGGATATGGAAATGGAAAGTACACTTGCAATTGGTCACTGTCCTGCAGAAAAAAAGGTGTGTAATAAATTCTGTGGCCTTCACCACCTCCACCCATTTCCATGGGACACCTTATAGACATCAACTGCACACCTGCAGCTGTACATTTACTGAAATTCTCCTGCTGGTTATTTGCTAGACTGCTCCTTCAGTAGCTGTTGGAGTGTGACACCCTGACCAATGTGCAAATCAGACTCTTCTTGTGCCCAAGTTTCCACTCATCTATTAGTCAAACTTTAAAATCCACACACCCTAAAAACCTTGCTATGTTAAATGAAAACAAATAAATAAATAAAGCTCTCCATGGTTAAAGGACCTTAATATTAAACAGAGATGTTTGCTGCTGTGAGATTCAGGAAGCATCATACACCAACTGGGCCTAAAATGCCTGCAAAAAGGAACATGTATTTTAATTTGTTGAAGTGAAAGGTCAAATCGATGTTGACTGATAAAATTTGCTTCTGCTTCGGGGAAAGCTGTGACATACTTCAACATTTGAGGTCACCACTTTCGTTTGCTTAAGCTGTGTAGGAGGTGACTAGCAGAGAGATGATTTCAACCAGTGGCTTACTGTAACTGTTTGCTGCTGCAACAGTACAGTATCAAGAACCCAAACAATCTTGTGCTTATGACATGCGCCACTGCAGCTCCCATCAGGCTCCAGCATTAATGGAAGAGTCTTTAGGCACTGCATGATGCCCTGGATAAACAAATTACTGGGAGAGATTACAATTCAGAGTTCTGGGTATATATATTCCCCCCCATGTAACCCCTTTATATTACCTTAGGGTATATACTAATGAAAATAAACCTTCAGTGTCAGTCCACATTTTTTTTTCTTTTGCACTTCATGAGCCAATATGTTCCAGTTTGAGTCCAGCTGATGCTGATAATGGCTGACACAGCTTTTCCCATACATCCTTAACTGCAACTCTCTTACAAACCTCTGGAGCATGCCTTGTCATGTACCAGTCTCAGATCTTTAGTTTGTTAAAATGTGTGTCCTACACTCTCTCTAGACTTTTCTACAGTCAATTTCTGTGGTTTTTAGAGTATTTTAGTGTTAATAACTAAATAAAATTGTCATTAAGAACTGGGATTTGCGTATCGTACCTTGCCTGCATCCATGCCCCCATTTTAACTCATAATCTTTGAATAATAATGTAATTTTCTTGCTCACCTACTATTCACACTACGTGTAGTATCAACCAAAAATGTAAAGTGCCATGCTGCTGTTTAAAAAAACCCATTGCTCTGTGGTCCACGGCATAAGAGGTTAACAGCAATATAGGATTGCTTCTTATTGATATAACAGCAATACTTCATCTCAAGAGGAGTATCATGTTTACAGCTGGTCCGCCATTTACATCAAGGTTATAAAGAGAATTCAAATGATTACAAGCAGGACAGTTGCTTGAGTGTAATGTCATGAAATGAGATACCTGTTCAGAGAGACAACCTAGGATTAGTCCACAGCCTAAGGCTAATACCAATCTTCTTTCAACAGTGCAAAACCATGTGTTTATAGTGCATACAAATGTGCTAAGCAGTTGCATTGCCTCAGGTTACTTCATAAGCGTAGAGACAAAATAACCAGCCGTCTGATGCCAAAAAATTCAGATTCACTAGGCTCACAATCTACACTGCAGTTGTTTTTTTGTGTTTGTGTTTATCTACAATTCTAGTATCAGGATAAGACAAGAGTCTATTTGAAATGTTGCAGGGCATCTATAAAACATGATGTTGTACAGCACCACGGAAAAACCCTTTAGACACTGAGAATATAAAGAACATAGAGGAATGATAATTTTCTTGGAAAGAGACAGACATTCTTGCATTTTTAAAGTGGCATTGAGTGATAGTTCTCCAGGCTTTCTAAATGTCTTCCAAGGCCTTTTTTGGACACTGGTAGCTTTTTCACTCTTTGCTTATTTTCTTTTACTTGTTTATTTTTACACAGGACCTGAGAAACGCATCTGCCCCTGAAGATGATCCACGTACTGTTTACTGAAACCTCATCATATGACTCAGTATCACAGCAGAATGTGTAATAAACAAGCTGGTCCACTGTGTCCATTTGACGCTTTGCCTCTCCAAACCGTCAATTCAACCAGTGGTGAATTTTGACACAGAGAAGTATCATCAGATTTGGATCCACCATGGAATACCATCTGCAGAGCATCTGACAATGGTAATAGTTTCATTTTTTAGCATGACAATGATCCCAAACACAATACTAGCAAAGTCAAAGCATATCTGGATGTAAAAACACACAATAGAACACAGAGTCTCCCCAGAGCCCAAATCTCAACATAAAATGGAACAAAAGGCAACCAAATTCCAGGGAAAAGCTTTGAAATGTCCTTTAACGGTGTTAGATAACTATTCCTCAAGACTACTTAAATACAATAAATAAAATCTGGCTAATAGTTCAGCAGACTCTATTTAAGGATAAGGGTAGTCATACCAAATATTGACTTTCAAGCTCAGAATTGTAAAAACTCTGCTTTTGCCTTATGTACTGTGTACCTTGGATGTTTACACTACATGTGTTATGATACATAACTCCACTTATTTCCAATTTTCCCAAAAGATATGATTAAATGAGGGGTTGCTCGAGACTTACGGACTGTAAGTCTTCTAAATAATGCACAGTTTTTAACATTTCACACGTGTTGCTTAAAGATACTATCCATGGGCTACATCACTTGTTATGCTTTATTCCCAGCTTATTTTGCTTGGCAAACTTATGTTTTATCAACTGAAAAAAGTCTAACTAAACTCTAAAAGTCAACTAAAAATAATATAGTTACTGTAGGTGCCAAGTAGCTGAAAGACAGATGTAGATTAAAAATAAAAACAAAATATAAAAAACTTTAAATGACTTCACAACTATCCAATGTTTAAGGACTGCCCTTCTTCTGAAATGTCTATAATTCTTACAGCAGATTGTATATGTTGGTAAATGTAATAAGAGTATCTCACCTGACATGACTGTTCCTGCTGTCAGGATCTCGAGCTGTTACAGCCCCCACCTCCGTGCCACTTGGTGAGTTTTCATAAACATCCATGATATAATAATCCATAGAAAACACAGGGGCTTCGTCCACATCCCCAACTGTAATTTTAAGGGTGGCAGTGTCTTTGAAAGAGCCAAGATAGGAAAAACGAGGATCCACATGTGTATTCACCCCCTCGATGTTGAGCGTGTAGGTCTTCTTCCTCTCGAAGTTCAGAGGCTGTTGGGGAAAAAGCCCCACAGGGGCCACATGATTAGCATGCTCATAGTACAACTAATTTAATCGCACCCACTATTTCTTTTCGTTTTTTAAAGCGGGGTAGTGAGGAACTTATACCTGTGGTCAGGGCCTAGTGTGTATGGGAGTAGGCATGCCCCCAGTTTTTAGCAACATAAAAAGAGACTGTAAAGAATTATGGCTTTATCTTGCCATAATTTCTATCAAGAAAGTGAGACTGTTATAGCAGAAGGGATTATTTTACCTCACAGACCAAAGGAGTTTCTAGTTTATTGCTTCCTCAGTTGGTTGTTTTCTGCTGGGTAAAATAACCTTCTAGTGGTTTTGAAGAGATTCATATAACAACTTCATTTACCTGCTGGTAAATAGTACAAGCCCACTTTAAAAAATCCTAAAGCTGACCCATTAATTCCAAACAACAACACACTTTCTGGACCAACTCCACAAACACAACTGTGTGTACTTTGTGGTGAAATTAGTGCATAAATCAATTGCTCCTATATGCTATTACAACACTGCATGTGATAGATCTGTGATATGAGGATTTTATCCTAATGGTCTATGTTCCAACGACATTTTAAGCAAATGTTCCAAGCACTAAAGTGAGAATGCACTTACCTTTTTTAGGCTGATGATTCCTTCCCTCGTGTCTCTGTCTGCAGAAATTGAGAACATGTTGGCCCCCTCTGAATTGATGATGCTGTACCGAATGTCCGCATTGACGCCAAGGTCCTCATCATTGGCTTTGATCTTTCCTACAGGTTTCCCTACTTGAGCTGATTCAGGAACGTAGAGCTGGTAGTTTTCTGTGGATGAACATTGATGCGTATCCATTTAGAGACAGCAGAACAATTTTAAACACATAATCTGCCTCCTCTGCCTCATACACTTGTCTGAGTATTCTCCTAAAAAGCCTTAGCTAAGCAATTCTAATGTGTAACCACTTGTTCCTCGGGGAATGTAATTAAAAATATTTTGCTGTGTTTCAATTGTCATTAAATGAGAAACTTAGGTTGATAGCGCTGCAGTGGAGCACATCAAACTCAGAGGCAGATGATTATTCAGAAAATGTTGATGGTCTTGAAATAGTTTTTTTTTTTTCATTGCAGCACAAATGGAAAAAACTCAGAGCCGAGGGGGATTATACTTGATGAGGCACTTCCAAAGACAAAGAATCACAACTTTGTCATTACTTAAATTTATCATTATAATTGAGAAAATTCAGACTGCAAAACACAGGGTTTTGATGAAATGCTCATTTAATTTAAACAGCTAATTATGGAAAATTTGACTCCAATGTGAGGATACACAGTTACAAAACAAGTATCATTCATCACAGTGACGACTGCTGAGTTGGTGAAATTTATAGTATGAAATGACAATATATGCTGCAGAAAAACAGCCCCATGTTTCCTGTGCAAACGCATTAGGACTTTTAGAAACGCCTTCCCTTTAACGTAACACACTTAAAATACAGTAGAAACTTCCTCTTATAAATGCATCTTTAATGTAACTGCCTCAGGCAGGTGTGTTGTAAGTCTTCTGCCCAAGGCCAAGCCTGCATGGTCATGCAATGCAGCAGAAGCTAATGTATTCAGATAAGCAAACTAAGATGTCAACATTGGCACTGGTTATTTAACTACTGTACATTCACCTTGTGGCTAGTTTGCCAGTTTAAAATTCGCTGCCATACAATCTCCTAAATGGAATTGCACGATATTCCAGCACAAATGCAATTGCAGGAGGTCAGTTCTGCAGCATAATAATTTACTATAATGCCCCTTAAAATAGCACTAAACTTTGTTAGGTCAAACATCGTCTTCAGGTGCATTGTACATACTCTGGGGAAACTTGGGCGGGTTGTCATTGACATCTGTCAGTGTGATGTTGATGGTGGTGGAACCAGAAAGGCCTCCAACTTGACCTGCCATGTCTTTGGCTTGGATGACAACAGTGTAATGTTCCCTGGCTTCTCGATCCATGTTAGCTAAGGCAGTCCTGATGATTCCTGTGTGACATTTGAGAGGGAAAAAATAAACACAAAACATAAACTAGGTTAATAACTTTGCAGTTAACACGTTTTTTATTTATTAGTTTTTATCTAGAGGACAGATAGAATATACTTTTTTCACTGTTACATTGCTATATTTTTTTTCTTACCAACACCTCTTTAGTACCACTGACACAGCGCTGTGTCACTCTTCTTCTTAAAGGCTAACACTATAATACCGTGCCTCTTTATCTTTGATTTTCCTCATCTCTCACTGTCAAGGTTAGCTTTTCCTTAATATTCATTATGTTATAAGAAATGACTATGCAACCTTGGATTAAGGCAGAATGCAACTTTCTGGGGGACCCAATTTGTCACATTTATTACTACAATAACACAGCAAACACTGCCATGAACTTTCACAATACTAACTCGGTGATATATGACCGGAACTCTTCCCACTATTAGAAACTGTACACAGGTGAATCACAGCACAATAACAAGCTAAAAAGATGGAAGCAGTATTAGCTTCCTGTGTTGCCATTAGTAGGTGATTTATTGAATGTAATAGGTTCATGGGAATGTGTTTGTGTGTACGAGTGTGTGTTTGACTGCAACTGTATCTTATTTGTTAGCCTATATAGCTTTGTGTGCGTGTATGTCTATATCTGTGCTCGGGGCTTAATTCGCCATCTTTGTTCCTGAAACCACAGCAGCACATGGAGCCTGATCTAATATGTTCTGTTACATGAGCGTTGATTGTAAATTGTGCTTCTCCCCACAGCAGAGACCCTCTGGCAACCACTGAACTCGTGTTCTTTTGAACTTCTGAACCCTGCCATAATTCACAGGGGTTGTCCCGGTGCAGTGCAGTGACACCTGCGGGTTGGTGTTGATCACAGGGTGAAATCCACATTGCTGCTGTCGATTCCTGTTGTGATTCAACAATCAACATGAGAGAATTAATCGAGGCATTTCTAAGGTCTCGGAAAAACCTAACCTGGCTTTTTACAGGTTTCCCATCAACTGTGTTGCATGATAAAACCACGTTTTTCCTCATTGTTTGGCTATTTTATTCATTTCTATATGAAGTTGCCCTGACATAAAGGGGGTTGTGTGTCCCACACCTGCTGCTTACATTCTACAAAAAAATCAAATCACCTTCATGAGCCTTTTTAAAAAAATATCCCTTTGTATCTTAATTTTGCTCTATTATAAGGTCACCTTCCTTACAGTTATCTTCAAACTTTAACTCACAAAAAAGAATTACAGTATTGTATTTCTATCATAGGAAGACTACGTTTAGATATTATTATATTTGATGTAAAACACTTGCATTTGGAAAATTTAACAGGGGTTAAACTGTGATATGTGAGCAGTGGGATGGGGGCTGTGTCACAGTATAGTGAATTGTTTTCATTACTGGGTCAACTGTCTGTCTGTCTGTTGCCCG